CTGCGTACCCCCGCTAAATCTTTTAGGGGAACGCAGTACCCGACCGTACCCCCCTACTTTCACCCCTGGTTACACTACGATCATAAAAGGCTAGACTCCATCTTGGACCACTCTGCCTTCTCCTCTGCCATTAACAAGGTATACGTGTTGCCTTCACCATGCTAGGTGACTGAATATATTGAGTTGCTGTTATGCGATTGGCTGGATTCCATACATTCAACAGGTCCACATGATAAAGTTGCCGCTGAGTGGTATTGTATTGTATTACTGATAATTACTCCCCGACACCTCAGCTGGTGACTCCAAATGGGGATGCTAAGAAAAAGACACCTCTGGTTGTAACTGGATATAGATTAAGTGCAGTTAAGTCATAGGTGTACTAAGGACTCAGTGTGCTGCTTCACATAATATCCACAACTACATTACATCAAAGATCAGGTGATCCTTTTCTCCGACATTCAAGTGTCTTGTGACTTGTACATAACACACAGCTCTTTTTCATGAAAACGATTTGCGAAAGAATTATGTCAGCAGTTTTGGAAGCACCTGAGCCTCGACTAAAGCTGCCACCACCTTGCGTTTCCTCCATCCAGGCCTGCCGAGGGTTGGGCCGATGAGGTGGAGGGTCCAGACGGGTCATCCTGAGTTTGGTGGGGTGACTTCGGATCGGCAAGTACTCCTCGTCGGTACTAACGGAGCAAGTGAACTCTTCACTCTGGTCACAAGAGCTGTTTGAAAGATTGACATATGTAGACATGGGACGGTGAGACTTCAACGTCAACACAACCAAGACACACCAGAAAAGTTGCAATGTAATGTTTGAACGTAGAATCAGTGTTTTATTACATAGGACTAGCTGCTAAACCCAACTTGGTAGAACACTTAAATTACACATATAGCCCTTAAAATTAGCATTTCTAACTCATCCAAATGTCCCGGTTGTAAAGGTTTCTCACCTGTCTGTGGCGTCGTTGTCCTCACAAATGTAGAGCTTGCAGTCGGAGCTCAGGATGCACAGAAAGGTCTCCTCATTACGCGCCTGGCCTCCATTGACATCACAGCAGCTGCTCACCACTGAAACAGTGTCGGAGTCCTCCTGTTTGGAAGAAATGGACCAATCAAAGTCGAAACACAACCTAGCTCTCAGTCAAAGACATTGATCTTTGAGGCCTGGGTCTTCAAGCAAAGGGTAAATAAAAAAAAAAAAAAATCCTCAGATGTGATGAAGATGATAGACGTAAAAGTACAGATGAGTTCAAAGTTAACAGCTCCACATATTTCTGACTGACTCCATCTCCTAGAATGTGATAGAGATTCTCCTCTCAGTCAGACGCTCACATGTTCACGCCGTTGATCAGGGTTACACTCTGAAACTTGATCCGACTCGTGGCTTTCCTCATTAATTTTTCAACATCCTATGTTTTTTTTGTTTTTTTGGTTTTTTTTACACTAAAACCAGTTCCTTTAACTGCCTTTTGCTAAAAAGGATTAAAAAAAACAGACCCATTCATCACATTTGTCAGTGTCGTCTTTTAGGAAACTACCATTAAAACTGAGAAGCTGTCACCATTTAAAAACAATGATATCCTGATTTAATGAAAAACAGCCACAGATGTCATTTTTGTTGTGAATGCCGGCAGAAGCAGCAAACAGGCAGTTTTACAGCTTCAGCCTGGCTCATCCTGCTTGCTGCACATTGCGCCTCTTTCTAAGAGGCTAGTTTCCCTGGAGGCCAGTAAGTGATCCAACTTCATTCATTTATAATAAGAGCAGCAGCTGCTGTCTTCCTCCACATTAACTCTGCTATAATGAGTCAAATTTTTCTTAATTTACTAAAAGGCAACACATTGCTGCACGATCCTATAATCCATTTTCATATTTGTCATAGTGTTCTGTCACACTCTCCCTTAACAAAACATCCCTTTTAGCACAACAAATATATATATATATATTGTTTTGTTTTAGATCTTATACATTTTAAAACTTAATCAATTATGTTGTTTTACAACTAGCCACACTTTAACCCTTCTGCCGCCGTGACCTCTGACCTGAAAAGAGCCTCCCCTGCCAGGCTTTCCTCCAATCCAAACTAATCCTATCAGTCAGCGCCTGTTGTACTCTGGTTTTACACAAAGCATCTCTTCTCCAGGTTACCCACAGTCCTTTCCTACCTTGTTGCTGCTGCTGCTGGTGTCTCTTTCCTCTGTCTGGGAAGAGATTGGCGTCAGCAGCGCTGCCCTGCTCAACCTGATCCCACCTCCAAGTCCAGAGCTTTTCCCAGTTGCATCCCCATCCTCAGGCAGGGGTTTCTGTTGAGGCTCGAGCTCGGTTCTTTCCCCTGCGCTCTCGTGCAGGTGCCGCTGGCGCAGGCACTCGTGGCAGCGGGAGGGGTCAAAGATATTGGGTTGGAACTTGGGGCATGTGGGCTCATCGCTGGAGTGGGACATGCCGAGTCCGGAGGGCAGGAGGGGGGAGGAGGGCTGCTCTATGGCTGCGTTCCAGGCGTTCTCAAAAATAAAATACGGTCCAATTAAAAACAAAAGAAGTGGAAAAATCTATAAAAGAGAAACAGAAATCATCTGGTGCATTCCATTAGTTATTTTCAATACATATCTTCTTACAGGACTGCAACTACTTTATAGTAGTGGCTGAGCAAAGAGTAAAAGTTCAGAATAATAATAAAAAAAAATAAAAAGAATGATTAATTTCATTGTTCATCCACAACATAAGGTTAGACTTGTAAATTTTCAGAGAGCATTCAGTCTGGGGACTCCCAGTTACTGCAAGACACTACATTTAAGCCAGTGTTTCTCAACCTGGTCCTCACTGACCCCCCCTGCATGTTTTAAGTATTTCCCTTCTGCCACACACCTGAATTGTATCTGTGGGTGATTAACAGGCTTCTGCAGTACTTGATGGTCATGCAATCATTTGAATCAGCTGTTCTGGAAAAGAGGCACATCTAAAACGTGCAGAGCAGTGGGGGCAGCGAGGACCAGGGTTGAGAAACACTGATCTAAGGTGACAAAAAATGTAAATGAATGAAAATTAACTTTATTTAAAAAGTCGACAACGTACTACTCAAATATGCCACAATTTGACGAGCTGTACCAGATTACAGGAAAAGCTAATTTGCATCTGCAGTTCCCTTGACAAGTTACAAAAATTGATAGAGAGAAAATATAACAATAGAAGTTGCTTTCTAATCACAATACACAAACGGTGACACACAGTCATGCAGTTTATGCCTTCATACCTGAGCAGTTTTTTTTAACAAATTTAAATTTTAGGTTGCTAGAAATGTTTCCTCCAACGAAGAAGACACGAAAAAAAAAATGTAATTACCAGAGCAGAGGGGCTCGTGCTGTTTGAATTTGAGGATAAAATGCTCCTCGGACCCCCGCCGGGAACAGCGGGGCTAGCTAACATCGGATCCACCCGATTGGCTGCTCTGACGGAGGCTGACACTGGAGCATCCATGGTGGATCTCGCTTATCGCACCGCTGACCCCGAAGCGCCCACGAGCCCAGAACCAACATGGTACCAGTGGGCCCCCGCCGGTTCCCCGCACTGGGGCGTTCAGCTGTATTAAATATCATGGGCTTTAGAAAGCGAAATGACACGAGCGCGGGCGAGTGACAGCTGGCACGCGCCCGGCTCGGGTTAACGTAAATAAGTAAACACAAGTGAGTTAGGGGGCGTTTAACGTACATTACAGAGCCAGGCTGAGCAGTAAATGTCGCTCTAAACATGGCGACATTTTAGACTACGCTCACATACAAAAAGGTATTAGTGAGCTTGAAGGAAATACACGACCGAGGCTCCGTTTCCTGACGCACCGCAGAGGATGTTGACTACAGCATCGGGTTTCCTAATTAAACAATAGTACGCAGAGGAACCAAATCCCAAGCGGAACAAACCGACTTTATTTTACATGTGACCCCAAACTTTAAGCATGTACAGTAAGATTTGTGAATTACATAAAAAAAAAAAACTCATAACTGTTGAAAAATATACAAGATATTTCCAGAGGCAAATACTGTAAGAATTCAAAATGGAGAATTCAGCTGAACATCTGCTTAAAACACAGACTCTCAAGCTGATTCTGACATAAAATGTCCTTTTTTTTTTGTCCCACACAACATTTAGTCTAGATGGTGTGTCTTCTTCCCCGTCTGTCTCCGCCTCTGTTTCTTGCTGGTCCTCCCTCCTCTGTGTACACCCTCCGTGACACCGGGTCTCTTGTCTGGCCAACGTCCTCGTCTGTCTCGGCCTTCCTGCTTCCCTTTCCTCCTCCGCTTGCTGGTGCACGAGCTGAGCGCCGTCGTGAGGGAGCGGATCCTGCAGCGCAAAAAAATGAGAGAGGGGCAGCAGATATGGCGTTAGAAGATTACATAATGGGTGTGTTGTTATAGGGAAAAAAAAAAAAAAAAAAACAGAAAAATTGTCTGAGCAAGTGTAGCTAATGTGTCACAAATGACAACACTATAAAGGCAGAAGTATGAAGCAATTAAAAGGGGATATTATGCATAATTACCACTTGAAATCTACTCATTAGGCTATAAAACTGGTATTTATTCTATATATTCCTTAAGCTTGAAACCAAATAGAAGTAACAAAACTATGATTAAAAATACATAATTTTATTTTCACAACTGCCAGCTTTTCTGGTAATTTTTTTTTAGTAAATACTAAAAGATGGTTAAGTTTTTCACTACAAAAAAAAAATATATATATATATATATATATATATATATATATATATAGTTTTATTTGTATTAAATTACAAAAGTGCAACAACAAAAGCTATTTACTTTTTCATAAACAATGGGGAAATTTTATTTTTACTTTTCATTTTTCTAATTGCTGAACATCTCATTGCATTTTGATAATTATCTTTGGTGATGATCTCCAAGCCTCCTCTAGATTCAAAACAATAACATGTTTTAAAAATGTTTAAGTTAAAACTAAATCTGGTAAATGTATAAATAATTTGAACCATCGTCCCACCAATTTTGACCAGCTTCAATAAGCTCAACTTACTTTTTGTTCATGATCAAGTCCCTTGGTTTTTTTGGCATTGCAAGTCTTTTCTCTTCTTCCTCCTTGTTGTTGTCCTCTTTCTCTTCATCAGCCTTCAAATCACAAACAAATACATGTCAGAGTCCCAAAGATAAGCACAAGAAATCGTGTCATACATAGAATAGTACGTAAACATTTACATCACTTGTCGCAGGTCTGAACAGGTGAGCTCCCGAGAGGTCCAGGTCACTGATGGTTGTCACGGTAACAGTGTGGTTCGGGTGGTCGTACTGAACAGACTCCGTGGTGCTGATCACCGCATCTTCAAGCTCGTCCTCTGCATCCGCTGCAGGAGAAGACGCAGACAAGAAGAAAATCACGTGACTGAAACGAACAAAAAATATTACACGTTACATTATACTTCCATTAAAACTCACCGAGAGCTTCTTCCCTCTCCTTCAACATCTTCGTATATTCCTTATGACGCTGAAAGAAAACAACAAGAGCTGAAAAGCTGCAACCCAATGCTTTTTCTGTTTTTTTCTTCTTTAATTACACTTACTTCTTCTCTAACTCTGCTTTGCTCCTCCTTTATTTTCTTTTTAATTTCTTCCACCGCTGCTTTTCTCCTTTCAATTTTTCGCTTGTGGAATCCAGTCAGATAGTCCCTGATAGAGAACAAAAACAAAAACAAAAAATAACGCTGGTTAGTAGTCAAACTTGCTAAAGTTAGCCGGTTTAATAGTGTCAGCCTGTGGGTTTAAACGTCACTACTGTACGTGGTATTCACCTACATGCACATTATTCCCTTTAATTTTATCAAAACGTTCCCGATGATAGCGTTAATATGAACAAAAACAAGAACATTCTAGCTATCATGCTAAGCTAACATGCTAGCCAGCTGGCTAACAAATCCAACATTTTCAGGGGGTGACGTAATATTTACTCACTGTCTGTCCTTGTCGTCAAACATCACGACGCATTTGTTTTCTCTTTTCTTTGAGCCAGGCTTGAACTTAGCCTTTTTCGACGCAGTGTTGTTGTTGTGTTTTGGGTTTTTCATGTTGTACACGTGAGTTTACGGAGTTTCACGGTTCCGTCACTAAAATATGTCCGGTAAGGAACACGCGCATGTAAGTCTGTGTTCCGCTAAGTCACGACACGTCATCAAACAACAACGAAAAATTTAATTTCTGTAATAAGTATAAATTAATGGTTGTCAAACTTTTCGCCACATATACCGTCATACTAATAAGAAATGTAAAATAGATCTACAAAAATACTTTTTGACCTTTGTGAAACTATTTGAGCTAAATTCAAGCTATAATACTCTACTGGAAACATGTTCTAGCTTATGATTGATTAGTGATTTTTGTTGTTGAAATTTCATATTTGATAAGCAAAACCAATCGTCTGGTTAACATGCCACCTAAACAGTTACACGCCTGACATATTTGGCCAAAAAATGCACTCATATAACCCAACAACAGGATATGTGCAAACACCTCATACCAACTGTTTGGCATGTTGGTGGAGGTGTGATGACAATGAGGGTTTATTTTGGAGTCTAAGCATCTCGCAGTGATAAACTGTGGCTTGTATTTTAAACAGCTGAAGCCTGGCTCATACTGGGTCAGGAAATTAAACTGTACAAGATGGGTTTGGTCCACATTAATAATCTGAAAGAGAGAGAGAGAGAAATAAAATATTGAACTTTACACAGCGTGCCCTGCTGAACATCTGCCAACACCCATCACAGTGTCAAACCGAGTGGCAATGTTTCCTCTCTTTGGCGCATTGCAAAGAGCTTTTCATAATCATTTATGTTTTTCTCCATTACATCCTCAAAGCTCAATGCTTTATAGTGTTTTTTATGTTATTGGTCAACAGGAAATAGCAGAAATGGAAGGAAAATGGTGCATGGATCACAGAGAAAAGATCTTTAACCTGTGTTTCATAGATCTCTATTTAGGCAACAAAATAAAAAAAACAACAACACACTGACTGTACAACTTTCTGCTGTTTTATTAGAAAACAATAAAATGAAACAAAAATTGTTCAAACAATAAAACATCTTGAGGGATGGGGGGGAGTAACAATTACATCAATAGAAAACTCTCGATACCAGCTGAACCATTGCCTTTCGTTCAATTCATTTAGCAGGCAGGGCAGCTAAATATACACAAAAATATTTTCAGTACTAATTAAACATTAATTTGTTTTCAATGGTGGGAGAATTTCCTATCCTTATTCTTGCACATCTTAAAGAAAAAAAAAACATCTGCGTGAAAGAAGTAACCCTTTCATGACTAAACAAGGGGTTACATTTGTATAAAAACAATAGAAATATCTTGATATTACAGTTTCCGGCCCTCTATGCTGCTTTAGCACATACAAAAACAATAACAACCGACCGACCAAAAGCTTTTATCTCACACAACCATTAAATAAGATACCCAGAGCGAAGAAACGACAACAAAAAGTGCCGCGTCACGTCGATAATTACAAGTAAAAAGCTAATTGAACAAAAAAAAAAAAGAAATTAAAAAGATACAACTTGTTGATGTTTTTTTGTTTTGTTTTGTTTTTTTTCTTAATGGATGCAACATAAGAAAATATTTGCTTTGTACAGAACATAAATGCTGTTTTGCTCGAGAGCTTTCAGATGGCCCTCATTTCCAGGGAACCGCCACGCTGCAGCAACGCGATTCGCCGGAAGGCTCAGACGGTTGACCTCGCCTCACCGACGCGTCAACGCGCATCGTCTCAAGCA